TGATGTGGCCGAAGTACTTCAACTTTGTCTCCAGTATCCTTCCCTCCAGTGAGCAGTCGGGCTTTATTTCCTGGAGGATGGACTGGTTGGATCTTCTCGCAGTCCAAGGCACTCTCAGAACTTTCCTCCAGCTCCACAGCTCAAAAGCATCTATCTTCCTTCGCTCAGCCTTCCTAAGGTCCAGCTCTCACATCCGTAGGTGACTACAGGGAATACCATGGCTTTGACTAGGCGGATCTTTGTTGCCAGTGTGATGTCTCTACTCTTTACGATTTTATCGAGACTGGACATTGCTCTCCTCCCAAGAAGTAAGCGTCTTCTGATTTCCTGGCCACAGTCTGCATCTGCAGTAATCTTTGCGCCTAGAAATACAAAGTCTGTCATGGCCTCCACATTTTCTCCCTCTATTTTCCATATGGCTCTAGTTTTAGCATAAACACATCAGCAAAGATAGGTGTCTGTGCTTGCAGACCAGCCCTGGGTTTCTGTCCTGGAATCCAAGTCTCAGCTGAAAGGGTTTTGACCTCCTCATTGTCCCATCATATAAGGCAGGGAAGGCCACTGCATATTGCTGGGTAGGACAATTTTCCACCCAAAAGAGTCACCCATATATGGTTTCCCTTTTAAAATGCTAAAAAGGGAATGCTAAAAAGCTAAAAAGAAATGATCAGGGATTATGTGTAATGGATATATTTGGAACGGCCTGGGCGACAATTGTTGGCTTGTGCGATTTTAATTGTTTATATTGATATGTTTTTAATTCCAAGTGTTTAATGTTAAATGATGTCATGTTTTATGATTTAATTGATAGTTGTATGTTATTATCGTTATGTTAGGTTTCTGTATGTGAGGCACTGAATTTTACCGTAATTGTGTTGGGAACCACCTTGAGTCCCCCGCTAGGGTGAGAAAAGCAATATACAAGTGAAGTAAATAATAATAATAATAATAATAATAATAATAATAATAAATAATATGAAAATAATGGAAAATTGAGAGCCAAATTGACAAAGAATAAACATGGCTGTGGCTCACAAATGGGACTTTGAAAAAGGAGAGGGAGGGCCTGATTCTGGCAGCCCAAGAACAAGCCATTAGAACCAATGCCATCAAAGCCAGAATTTAAGTCAACAACAGATTCCAAATGTAGACTCCGCAAGGAAGCAGATGAAACAATAGATCACATCCTAAGCTGCTGCAAGAAGATTGCGCAGATAGACTACAAGCAGAGGCACAACACCATTGCTCAGATGATTCATTGGAACTTGTGCCACAAATTTATTTATTTATTTGATACTCTTATATACCGCAATATCTCAGCCTGGAACGGCGACTCAGTGCGGTGTACAACAGGTTAAAAACAATCAATTAAAAGCAATATGCATACAATAACAATTTACCAATTATTGGGCCACCAATAACAGTCCCATATATCTCAAGTTAAAAACCACAGTCAGAATTCGTTGTCCATATTTCCTAAATTTAGTTACCTAAATTCAATTGCCACAAGTTAGCCGAATGCTTGTTTAAATAGCCATCTGCCTGTGACAAAAAACTGGTGGGATCACAAGCCGGAAAAAGTTGCAGAGAATGAATACGCCAAATTCCTCTGGGACTTCCAGATTCAGACAGACAGAGTTTTGGAGCACAATACTCCTGACCTCACGATCGTGTTAAAAAACAAAGTATGGATTGTCGATATTGCAATCCCAGGTGACAGCAGGATTGAAGAGAAACAACTGGAAAAGCTGACACGATATGAGGATTTAAAGATCGAACTGCAAAGACTCTGGCACAAGCCAGTCAAGGTGGTCCCAGTGGTGATCGGCACACTGGTGCAGTGCCTAAAGACCTTGGCCTGCACTTAAACACAATTGGCGCTGACAAAATTACCATCTGCTAGCTGCAGAAGGCCACCTTACTGGGATCTGCACGCATTATTCGCTGATACATCACTCAGTCCTAGACACTTGGGAAGTGTCTGACGTGTGATCCAATACAACAGCCAGCAGAGTGATCTTGTCTGCTGTGGACTCATCTTGTTGTGTTTCTAATAATAATAATAATAATAATAATAATAATAATAATAATAATAATAATAATAATGGAAGGCAGAAAAATAAAGCCAGTTAAAGAAATAACAACAACAACAATAATAAGAGTTTTAAAGGAGTGTTGGGGAGTCTGCTGAGCAGCATTAGATCAGAGACAGAATCAGAAAGACATGATTCCTGCCGCTCCCCTGGCTCTTATCTCCTGTATTTACATGTATTAATTGCTGATGTACCCAGATACTCTGCTTCCATATCTAATCTTGGTCTCTACTTTAAATATTCCACATTCTGTAATTAGGAAGTGCTTCTGTATTTATCCAGGCTAATTAATGCAATGGGAGTGCGATCACAGGAGGGACTGCTTCCTGCCTCTTCCTTGAGAATCACCAAGAGAGAGAGGGGCACTTCCAGACAGCACTAAATCATGGGTTTTAGTGAGGGGCAAAAAATCCCAGGACTTCAGGAGAGGTCAACATATAGACCTGTTGGTCTTGGGATTTCTGCCTCCGTTGTCCAGACTTGATGTTCTGCTATGAGATTTAGAGTCTCCCAAGATGGCCACTGCAGGACTTCCGTCAGAAACTGGCAGTTTTTAAAAAGCCCGCAAGATGCTGATATGCAGATATGTGGAGATTCGGTTATGCGGATCACCACAAAAGTTTCATTCTTTGTCCTGGCCAGAGGAACTGTGCCCTCCACATATTTCATGAAGTTTCTGGCACACAAACAAAGTTTTTCCCTTCTACTCAAGTGCCACCTTCTCTTTAGGAACTGGCCAATCAGGAACAAGCATTTAAAACCTGGGAACAAACCCAGATTAAAAAATCCCATGATTTCCGAGTGTAGGGACATACAGACATGCAAAGATCCAGATATTTGGCTCAAAACATCTGGAAATCTTGCGTTTTTTGCTTTTTGTAGCAATTGCTTCCGCATTTACAGGGAATGGTGAGTGGCCACCCTCCTGTTTGCTGCTAAAGCTCCTGGAATAAAGGTACTGTCTGGACAGACCCAGAGACAGACAGAGAGGGAGAGGGAGAGAAGGCCCTTCCACAACACACATTTGCAGCATTATAATTCTACTTTAACAGCCATAGCTTTCATGAAATCCTGGGATCTGTCATTTAGGGTGATCCAAGGTGCTGGATCTATTTCGGACTAAAGCTGAAATAGATGGACTGCCCAACCGGCATGAGAGTGACCATTGGGCCAAAGGAGCCGTTGGCATCAGATGAGACTGACACTTGTTTCTCTCAGGCATTTAAAGCCATTTAATTGCTTCTGCGACCTCTGCTTCCCCTTCAGACTGGCTCTCAGGCTCTTTGCAAACATCCATTTTCCCCCTTAGCTGTCCTATTTTTATTGTCCTCTTGTTAATCCTAGATATACGTTGAAGCCTCTGCTAAAAGGCAGGACTATATATATATATATATATATATATATATATATATATATATATATCCCACATGAATGAGCAACTCAACTTCAGTAACACTTGATACCTGGTCAGGGTGTGTTTCATTTAGCTTGTTCTCTGCTGCAAAATTTAAAGTGCTGCTTTTTCAAAAGACTGAGCCAACTTCGCCTCCAGGAATGAAAGCAACCTTCCAAGGCAGTGTTTCTAAACCTGGGGATCGGGACCCCTGTACCGAGGTTGCAAGGGGGTGAAAAAAGGGGTCACCAAGGACCATCAGAAAACACAATATTTTCTGTAGGTAATGAGGGTTTTGTATGAGATGTTTGCCCCAATTCTATCATTGGTGAGGTTCAGAATGCTCTTGATTGTAGGCGAACTATAAATCCCAGCAACTACAGTTCCCAAATATCAAGATCCCTTTCCCCCCAAACTCCACCAGTATTCACATCTGGGCATATTGAGTATTTGTGCCAAGTTTGGTCCAGATCCATGATTGTTTGAGTCCACAGTGCTCTCTGGATGTAGGTGAACTACAACTCCCAAAACTCAAGCTCAATGCCCACCAAACCCTTCCAGTATTTTATGTTGGCCATGGGAGTTCTGTGTGCCAAGTTTGGCTTAATTCCATCATTAGTGGACTTCAGAATGCCCTTGATTGTAGGTGAACTATAAATCCCAGCAACTACAACTCCCAAATCTCAAGATCTATTTTCCCCAAACTCCACCAGTGTTCACATTTCAGCATATTGAGTATTTGTGCCAAGTTTGATCCAGATCCATCATTGTTTGAGTCTACAGTGCTCTCTAGATGTAGGTGAACTACAACTCCCAACACTAAAGGTCAATGACCACCAAACCCTTCCAGGAATTTCTGTTGGTCATGAGAGTTCTGAGTGGCAAGTTTGGCTTAATTCCATTATTAGCGGAGTTCAGAATGCTCTTTGATTGTGGGTGAACTATAAATCCCAGCAACTACAACTCCCACATGACAAAATCAATCCCCTCCCCCACCAGTATTCAAATTCGGGCATATCATGTATTTTTTTACCAAATTTGGTCCATTGAATGGAAATACATTGTGCATATCAGATATTTATATTATGATTCATAACAGTAGCAAAATGACATTTATGAAATAGCAACAAAAATAATGTTCTGGTTGGGGGTCACCACAACCTGAGGAACTGTATTCAGGGGTCGTGGCATTAGGAAGGTTGGGAAACACCATTCCAAGGGATGCCTCCTCTAGTGGCAAAAAGGGGGTCTCATTCCCCAAAAGCAGAGCTGAAGAAGCCTGCCTCAAGGCTACCAAGGCATTGATTTCGTGCATACATTGAGCTCTGCTTGGCTGGATAAAGGGGGCCCAATTTCACGGGTTCTTTCCAAGCGGCTGCAGAACGAAACCTCCTGAGAGAACGACAAGAAATGCTCATTCTCTCCAGGGTTCATTTGTCACTCGAAGGAGAACGCACTGAGCAGAGAGACAGAGCAAGGAGGAAGCAGGCGTTGCTGGCTGATATTATTATTACCTGAGACGATGGAAGCGAGCCTGAAGATATCGGAGAGGCGCGAGGTGACTGGCTCGTAGGGAGACGCTTCGTAAAACTCATCTCCTGGAGGGAAAAGGGCGAGAAAAAGGGAAAGAAAGGGATTGAGGCCCTGCGCTCAGAGAAAGAGCAACCAAGCAATTTTCAAAGCTGCGGGAGAGCAAAATCTCACGCTTACCTCTCCCAAGGCATTTCTTTTGGGAAGCCCACCCCACAGCAAGGAGGAAAGAGGGGAAGTACGGAAGCCCATCCCTCAATGTGTGTTTCCTAGCCTTTGCCCTCAAGGGCAAGTTATTATTATTATTATTATTATTAAACTTTATTTGTACCCCGCTAGCATCTCCCGAAGGACTCGATGCGGCTTACAAAGGCCAAGGCCTCAACACACAATATAACAATACAAAACCTAAGGCAAATTAAAAACAATTAAAGCAATATAAACAACAAGCAATAAACAATACACTAAGACGCAATAAAGTTTCTTTTAGCAAACACTCTTAGGGACAATGTATTGTCGAAAGCTTTCACTGGGTTGTTGTAACTTTTTTGGGCTGTATGACCTTGTTCCAGAAGCATTCTCTCCTGACGTTTTGTCTGCATCTATGACAGGCATCCTCAGAAAACTCACAACAACCTTTCTGTGTTTCACTCCAAACTTTGAAAGAGGATCTAAGGCACATGTATCATATCCAAGGCCCGCGGGCCGAATCCGGCCCTCGATGTCATTGTATGTGGGCCTCCTCCAGATGCTGGATGACAACTCCTATATTCCTCATCAAGAGATATCTTGACCAGAGCTAATAGGATCTGGCATATAGCAACATCCAGGAGCCTGCTGTTTGTTCTGTTGAGTCAAAAGAGTGGGGTTTGGATTGAGAAACAAGGTTTGTGGATTATGATGCCTGACTTCTGAATGTCCATTGACGGTTTCCCAGCCTCAGAGCCACTAGTGCTGTTGCGTTGCCATTCCCATCCTTCCCAGTCTGCGTGGTGGATCATCAAAACGGATGGGAGTTGTTTTTCAATAACATTTGGGGATCCAAACTGGGTGAAAAGTAAAGACCCATCAGTATAAATTCTCCCATCTCAGGAGAAGTCCATTGTACAAGATACATCTACGTGGTTTCAAGTAATACCCCCATCGGAGGTTAGTTGCTTTCTCAGCCTTGATGCCACTGCCACAAGTGTCACCCTGTGGCACTTGTCCTCTCAAAGATTTCTAACAATCCCCTGCATATGGGGGTTGGTTGGTCATGTGGGACAGGATTGGACATAGAAGTTGGCTACGTTGCACAGTGTAGTAGCGGCACTGCAATATAATGTGTTCTATTGTTTCTATTTCATTTCATCCACAGGGGCATAATAATAATAATAATAATCATCATCATAATCTTTATTTATACCCCGCCACCATCTCCCCAATGGGGACTCGGAGTGGCTTACATGGGGCCAAGCCCGGACAACATGTTACAGCAAAATAAAACCAGAACATAAACAACAAGCAACAACATCAAAATTACATAGAAAAAAAGTATAAACACAGTAACAAAATAACATTCCAATAAACACAATCACGATAACAGTGGGCGGGCCACATGTACAGGATAAAATAATTTAAAAACTCTAATGAGATAAAAATAGGAGCAGGTTATTTGCAGGGAGCTCATAAAAACACACAGGGTTGTGGAACTAAACTTCCCATTTGGAGGGTGTGTACTCCAGTGGCAGAAGCATTGAGGGGAGCAATAGTGTCATGTTGTGCAGTGGAAGAGCCAGTGGAAGAGCCAGGTTTTAAGGTTCTTTTTTAACATTTCTAGTGAAGGGGCTTTCCTGATAGTCTTTGAGAGTAAGTAATTCCAGGCAGTCTGCCTCTTAGCAGTGCTTTGTTATTTCTGTAAACCGCCCTGAGTCCCCTTGGGGAGAGAGGGTGGATTATAAATAAAGTATTGTGATTATGATTATTATATATAGGTGTCCCTCTGTTTCCACAGATTCTCCATTCCTGGATATAACAGCCCTTTGAAGACAACTCTGAAGCTGATGTGGATGGAAATGAGCTTGCCAACCCTATATGAACTTTCCTTCAAGACACTTCCAGTATCTTGGAGGGTTCTCTAAAAACCCATGCACTCAACAGATCTCAATGCCAGGAGGGTTCATGAGATGCCACCCAGACTCTGGAGCTGCTATTGGGTTGGAGATGGACTCCAACTCATCCGGGAGGCAGCAGCCTTGACAAGACTGGTCTAGGAGACTCTCAGCCCCTGTTGGCTGAGAAACCTGGAAGGAGCCCTTCATTTCAGCAAATCTTCCTTGATACTTTGCAGCATTTGTTGCGATCAAGGTTCGGAAAGAAGCTCTCAAGGGAACGAAGGAGAAGCAAGTGCACCAAAAGACATCCCCCACCCCCTGGAAGAGATGAGGCTCTTTCTCTTCAACTTGTAAGAATCTAGTCTCCCCTGTTCTGCCCCCACAATGCGGACAAGCCAGACACCTGCTGCTTGGAAGCAGAGTCTCATTAACAGTCACAAAGGCAAGCGGGGAAGGGCCACCCCCTCAGTGCTCCCCCCAGCAGCAGACAGTTACAAATGCATTTCATTACTGGGCGCTCTGTGCAATTGCTGGGCAAGATCGGCTGCCAGGGCACAAGGATGGCCTATCAAGGGCACCTGCCCCTCCCTCCCTTTCTAGCTGCATTTAGAAAAAGGTGGGAGGCAAGGAACAGGAGTGTTTGGAGCCCCATTCTCCAGAAGATTTGAAGTACAGGTTGGATGGGGCCCTGTTGAGGGGGATGAACGGATGAATACACTGTACTGAATGGCCTTTAGTGATCCCTTTCAACTCTAGAAGAGTTGTTGTAGGTTTTTTCAGGTTATCTGTTCTAGAGGCATTCTCTCCCTGCATCCACTACCTCTGAGGATGCTTGCCATAGATGCAGGCGAAACGTCAGGAGAGAATGCCTCTAGAACATGGCCATATAGCCCGAAAAAACCTACAACAACACAGTGATTCCGCCCATGAAAGCCTTCGACAACTCTAGAAGAACTTAGACCGCATAGGAGTCAGCAGAGCCTCCTTCTCTGGAGGACTTTAAGCAGAGGCTGTTGGCCATCTGTTCTGGGCGGGGGGGGGGGGGAGGCTTTCTTAGAGATAACTATCCTGAAATAAAGCAGAGCACCCAAAAACAAACAGGATACTAAAAGTTGAGCATTCTGTTCATTAGCGAGCAGAGCATGAAGTGCCTTGTGATGTGGCCGCAAAGAATTCAGAGCTTCGGAGGTAAACATGCAGAGTGCAATCTTTTCAAAAATCACAAAAGGTTTATTTACAATAATAAGAAATAACTGCATTTCTTAATAATCAAGAACTGGGTCTGAGCTACTCTAACACCCATCTCTTCTAATGTTTCAAGAGAGAGGAAAATTCAATCACTGTATCTCTCCTGACACACAAGCAGAGAGAGATCTCAAAACATACTCTCCATACAAAAAGTCAGATTCAAAAAGCTTGCAGTAGAAAAGTGTCCATTTTAAACAACCAATCAGAATGTAAATAGAAAGAGAGAACAGGATACATTCCCAACTGTCATTCATGAGACATGGGGAAAAGGAAACTTTCAGACTATTCCAAACTAAATACTGCTCCTCACTGAGTATTTGAGACTTGGGCAATGTGGAGTTGAATCCCAACAGGCTTTTAGTGTACTTTTCCTACCTGACAGAAAGAGGGTTGGACTGGAAGCTTCTTCGAAGCTTCTTCGAACTCTACGAGTCTTAGATTCCATAGCCCTATTTCTCCATGAACCCGCTAATGTCTATGAGGTTGGATGGTCATCTGTTGGGGGGACTCGGATGGTGCCTTCCTGCCTAGCCGAATGAGACCGGACTGGATGACTGTTGGGGCCTCTTCCCACTATGATTCTATGGACCAGACTGCTATGAAGGGCACTGGCTAAAAGGAAGAGGGAAAGAGGCTGTCCTTATGGGTCATTTGTCCAAGCAGAAGCCATTTGGGTCTGGCAAGAAGCATTCTGGCTCCACTTCTAAGCCTATTTCTTATATCCAGGAGGATTTGGGGAAAAGAGCAAGCTTCCCTGCAAGTCGCAAGGAGATGGTGTCCAAGTAGTGTCATCAAGTCCCTGGTATCCCCTGAAAGACTGGCCTCGGATGGACCCACAACCCCAGTTTCAGATTTCTCTCACTTTTTCTGCCTTAGTTCTGCTGCATCTCCATTTCATCTGGGATGTCTTTAGGGTGGAATGAGTTGGAAGGAAAGTTGGAGGGATGACATACATGACAAGAAATAAAGGCAAACGGCTTCTTTGTCTTTTGGAAAATGACCACTGGCTCTCCAGAGGCAGGTGAAGAAGCAAGGAACTCTTCTGGGTAAACTTGGCAACGCAAAGTGGTGTCTTCCCCCTTGGCTGGGCTCACTGATGCTCAGGTGACAGGCGAAGCTCCGGACACCCTCACCTCCATTTCTGTGTTGCGCTGCCAAGGCCATAAATAATTAAGGATGTTACAGCGGGAGGAGACTTTGCTGCTCAGTGAGGAAATTACCTCGCAATGAATGGACGCTGAACTTCTGGCCCCAGCGCTGGCAGAGACACAATTAGCCTCCAGGAAAGAAAAGGAAAAGAAGCCGTTTTGTAAGTGGAAACGGAGGAAGGGAGAAGGAGGCCTTTGGGCCATGGAGAGAGCAACTCCCGGTCATGAACCCACTTTGTACTGGGCCTGGGGACTCCGGTTTTCTGGAAATGATGCAGCGGATATATCCATGCCTCCATCAATGCCCACTTCTGAACAGGGTTGCATCCATCAGGGATATACCACATTTGCTCAAATCTAGTGCTCACCTTTTGGGGCTAAATGACCTTGCCAAAATTTGGGTGCACATTAGATATGCGTCACACGGTGATCTTAGTGCCGAGCCAAAGCTAAAGGGAAAGCTGCTTCAGGAGCATCCGGAGCTCCTATTTGAGGGATGTCACCTCTAATTTAATTGCATTGACTCAAAGCTATCTAATGCTGGCATTTATAATTCGATGAGACCCCCCCCCCCATAGAAATAATGCTGGGGAGAGGAAGATACGGGAAAGGGAAACCAAAACAATTAATGTGGCCTAGGGAACAAGAGAGAGCCACACAGTTCTAAAAGGTCTCCGGACTTGGTAAACCTGGGTAACCGTGATGGCAGTCCCTCTAGATTAAGGGTGGTGTTGTTGAACGCAAAGTCTGTGAACGGGAAAACAGAACTCATTCAGGATTTAATTCTTGATGAGTTCACAGACCTGGTGTGTATAACGGAGACCTGGTTGGATGAGGCTGGGAGTGAGGGGTGGGGAGGCTAATCTCTCCCAGCTTTGTCCACCAGGCTACTTCGCGCAGCACCAACCTAGATCCGGAGGGTGGGGAGGTGGGGTCACAGTGGTCTATTGGGATTCCATCTCCCTGACCAGGTGCCCCATCCCACATTCAACCACATGTGAGTGTGTCCATTTGAAAGTAGGTGACCGAGAAAGAATAGGGATGCTGTTAGTGTACCGACCACCCCACTGCACTACGGCCTCCCTGCATAAGCTAGCCAGAGTGATCTCAGGCCTGGTGTTGGAGTCCCAATGAATCATAGTATTGGGGGACTTCAACGTCCATGCGGAGACCACCCTGTTGGAAGTGGCTCAGGACTTCATGGCCACCATGGCATGACAGAAAACAAAACAAAACAAAAACAAACAAACATGGGGCTGTTTTGATTGGTTTCTGGCTCTACTCACAGAGCTGGGCACACACTAGACTTGGTTTTCTGCCAGGGATGGGAAGAAGGTGGTAGTGTGGAGGAGCTCACCGCCACTCCATTGCCTTGGACCGACCGTCACCTGATCAGGTTTAGGCTTATTGTGCCCACAATCTCTGCAGGGGTGGAGGACCAACTGGAATGGTCTGTCCCAGGAAGCTTATGGATCTGGATGGATTCCTGACAGCTCTTGAGGAATTTCCTGTCACCTTGGTAGTTGATCCTGTTGATGTTCTGGCCACTCTCAGGAATGGGGAGATGACTAGGGCAATACACAATTGCTCCAGAATGTCCCCTATCACATAGCAGAGCTAAATCAATGAGGAGTTGACAGCAATGAAGTGTGCGAGACAGAGACCAGAGCAAGTGTGGTGTGCAACTCGCAGCGAGTCAGGCCAACCATGGGTATGTGCATGCGGCCATCATAATGCACACCTTTTTGGCCAAATGCACTTTTTTGCCACTGCACATTACATTCGGCAGCAAATCCTTTTAGTTTCAGGGTTTTGGAAATTGAGATGCACACTAGGCTTGGTATATATTCATGCATTTGCTACATTCTTCTTTATGCTTTGCCTTTTTGGCAAATGTGGCCAAAAGGAACTAATGGTAGTTATGCGTTCCAATGTAACTCGCTACTCCCAAGCCCTGGCCGTAATGTGATTTGACCGCAGCAATTTGATTTTCCTTGTAAGCAATCTCGGCGAAAGGGCCCTGGGAGCTTCTGCACAGAGTAATTTCCCGAAAGACCCTTCCGAGAGCAAAGATCAACTGAACAAACGAACGTGGCACCGAGGTCTCCAGATTCCCCTTCAGACAGAGGAAGAACAGAATAATTGACGCACGCTACAGATGGATTTAAACCCCCGCCTGACAATGGTTAGGGGTGCACTTCTCAATTTCTAATTCACTCATTTTGCAATTACTAATTGTTTCCTTGAAGAAGGCAACATATACATTGGGAAAATTGCTCACATTTTCCTAATCATATTCAGAGTTTGGGACTTGTTTTGTGCCAAAATTTGCACATCTTTTCCTGTGCAGAAAATGCCGCAGTTAGGGACATCTTCAGCACAAAATTTGTGTGTGATAGTTGGAGACAGGAAACTGCATTCATTGTGCAGGAAAATATGTAACACACATGGATTTTGTGCAGAACAAATCCCCAAAGTGCTGAGATTCTCGGCTCTGGATTTTCCCCACCAAGGTTTCTCTGTCCAATAGGAGCTTTCATAACAACGTTTTTGAATATTTTCTGAATCCTTAAGGATGATTTGTGTTAATGGGTGTATAACAGGCATGGGCATGTATGTATTTCATTCCTGCCTGTCCCGGGGCCCCATTCATCCGTCGGTCCATCCTTACCGGCCGCCAAGCCAAGATGGATGCTCCAGTAGATCTGGAGGCAGAGCAGCTCCTTCTTCATGCCCCGCTTGCAGCGGCAGTCGTAGAGGGGGCTCTCCTGCAGGACCTCCAGGGCTGCCTGGCACTCCTTGTTGGCCAGCATGGTGTTGCGGTCACGGCCAGCCACACATTGGCGCAGGGTCCGGTAGCGCGAGCTGCAGCTGGAATCAGCCGCACAGAGCTCATTGGCACGGGCACAGTCCACAGGGGTCCGCCAGCCATGGGGATCTGGTGCAGTGGTCAAGGGGGACAGGAGGGCCCAGGCATGGGGCATGACGTCTGTAGGGGAGGAGAGAGACAGAGAGAGATTGAGACAACAAACCACAGTTTGGGGTGAGCATCTGAAATGACCTCATAAGACTAGAGAGCTGGGCCCAAAACAACAACAACAACAATAATGTTGGAACACAATGCACCAGACATCATGATTGTGGAAAAGAAAAAAGTTTGGATTATTGATGTCGCCATACCAGGTGACAGCCACATTGAGGAAAAACAACAGGAAAAACTCAGCCACTATCAAACCTCAAAATTGAACTGCAAAGGCTCTGGCATAAACCAGTACAGATGGTCCCAGTGGTCATTGGCACACTGGGTGCCGTGCCAAAAGATCTCAGCCAGCATTTGGAAACAATAAACATTGACAATACTGACAAAATTACGATCTGTCAACTGCAAAAGGCCACCTTACTTGGATCTGTGCGCATCATTCGAAAATACATCACACAGTCCTAGACGCTTGGGAAGTGTTCGACTTGTGATTTTTGATACGAAATCCAGCATATAGATCTCGTTTGCTGTGACATACTGTGCTTTTGTGTCAAAATAATAATAATAATAATAATAATAATAATAACCGCTGCTCTGGCCAGAGTGAAGATTAGCATTTGATGGGTTAGCAATTTTCAAGGTGTGCCTTCTTACTGCAAGACTGAGAACAGTGCACAAGAGTCAAAACCAAGATCCACCCAGAGGAAAAGTGTTCTTGACATACATCAAGGGAACCATTGACTGCAGAGGGAAGCTGATGAGGAAACACAACGCACAAACTATCTACAGACCCACTAAGAAAATCCAACAAGTGCATACACCAGGAGGGCCAGAGTTGGTTCATACCTGATCTAAATATTAGATCTTTTGCCTTTTGTGACTGGGGAAGCCTTTGCTCTTCTGAGAGGCCTTTTGGACAGTCTGGGGTCTCTTTGGAGGGCCCTCAACTCTCTTTCGAAGGAAATGGAAATCATCCCCCAAAGACAGTGGCTGTGTTCGTTGGCCAGGCAATGCTCTCTGCTGTGCTGGCAGATGGAGGCGCCTGTTGTCACAAAGCCACAAGCAATACCTGCTCAGCCGCCTGGCAAGTGGAGCAATCCTTTTGGGTTGCTGGTGTGCCAACTTAATGGGCCAAACTGCCAATGTCTCGTTCAAGGGGAGGGAAAGGTCATGGCGCCCAGTGCTAAAAGTGAAGCCTCCTTGCACCTCTGTCCCAAGGCAGGCAAGGCAGAGAGAAGGCTCAGCCCCATCCATTCAAAGTCCGCTTTGTTTCTACTTTTTCACATCTTAAGGGTGCAGCCACACCAGGAACAGACCAACTTTGGTCCTCCAGGTGTTTTGGACTTCAACTCCCACCATTCCTAACAGCCTACCGGCTGTTAGGAAAAGAAGGGACCGAACTGCATTCATTCTATAGCAGGGATGGGCAAACTTCAATTCTCCAGGTATTGTGGACTTCAACTCCCACAATTCTTAACAGACTACCTTATGAATTATGGGAGTTGAAGTCCAAAAACACCTGGAGGGTTGAAGATTATCCATGCCTGTACTACGGTGTTGATTTACAGCAGTGGTTCTCAACCTGGGGTCCCCAGATGTTAATGGCCTACAATTCCCAGAAATCCTAACAGCTGGTAAACTAGCTTGGATTTCTGGGAGTTGTAGGCCAAAAACATCTGGGGACCCAAGGTTGAGAAGCACTGATTTACAGTATGAGCTGCTCAGCAGTGGAACTCTCTGCCTCAGAATGTGGTTGAAGCTCCTTCCTTGGAAACTTTTAAACAGAGACTGGATGGCCATCTGTCAGGGGTGCTTTGATTGTGCTTTTCCCGCATGGCAGAAGGTTGGACTAGATGGCCCATGTGGTCTATTCCGACTCTATGATTCTACTAGCTGTACCAGCCACATGTTGCTGTGATCAACCTTCCCTCCCTCTTTCTCTCCTTTCTTTCTCTCCTTCCCTTTTTTCTTTCCTTCTCTCCTTCCTTCTCTTCCTCTTCCTCCCCTCCCCCCCTTTTCTTTCCCTTCCTCTTTTTCCCTTTCTTTATTCTCTACCTATTCTTGGACTGCAACTCCCAGCATTCTCCTATCTATCTATCTATCTATCTATCTATCTATCTATCTATCTATCTGGAGGATTGCTGGGAGTTGCAGTCCAGGAATAGGAAATTGGAAATAAGTATGGATTGGGATGCTCTCAAAGAAATCCAAGAAGAAAGCTTGCATCTTGGAAGCAGTGCATTTGGATCATCCTCTTCTCCTAAAGGGCAGGATCTAGGGGATACTGGGAGCTGTAGACCAGAAGAGAGTGTGGTTATGCTATTGTGTGTTTTGTTTGCTGGGGGAATCGTTTTTGCACATGCGCTGTAGCATCTTTTTGCTTTTTTGGCTTCAAAAGTCCCTTCTGCTGTGTTTTTCAGTATTTTTATGAGTGATGGTCACTCATTGGCTTGATAGGTATATTGTGTTCAAATTTGGTGTCAATTCGTCCAGTGGTTTTTGAGTTATGTTAATCCCACAAACTAACATTACATTTTTATTTATATAGATGACTAGCCGTCCCCTGCCACATATTGCTATAGCCCGGTCTGTGTATGTGTATATGTGTGTTTATATATTTGTGTATATGTGTATATATGTGGTTTTGCAAATGCATTGTGATGTAAAGTTTTTTTTTTGTTTTTTTGGCTTTTTAAGTCTCTTCTGCTGTGTTTTTCAGTGTTTTTATGAGTGATGGTCACTTGTTGGTCTGATAGGTGTATTGTGTGGTGTCAATTCTCCCAGTGGTTTTTGAGTTCTGTTAATCCCACAAACGAACATTACATTTTTATTTATATAGATGATACGCTATCTCACCAGGTGGATCCCAGAAACTAGAGGCGATGGAAGACTGAGATCGAGAAAGAGAGTGAATGCACGCAAAAGAAAAAGAGCAAGCGCATCTGTGGCTCATCATTTGATTTTCCCAGAGTATCAGGCTTAGCACAAGGGCCCTACACTTTCAAGTGCACAGTTGCAGCCAACTCTTGCAGAGCCTTTGCGGAGTTCAGCTGAGTTCGCCCAAATCCAGCTGAACAGAAGGAGCTGGGGACATGTTGCTTCCATTAGACTCACATGAGGAGAAAGTATGGCAAAAAGAAGTTTGATGAACAATGGACAAATCACCCTCGACATGAGAGGGAAAGAAGCAAGAGGCCCTGGAAGAGACTGCAACTTGGGTTCTTGTGCCCTGGTTTGCTGGTTTTTCTCCTTCAATAACCATAACAACTCCAAAACGTCAAGGTCTATTTTCCCCAAATTCCACTAGTGTTTACATTTGGGCATATTGAGTATTCGTGCCAAATTTGGTCCAGATCCATCATTGTTTGAGTCTTCAGTAGTCTCTAGATGTAGGTGAACTACAACTCCAAAACTCAAGGTCAATGCTCATCAAACCCTTTTAAGTATTTTCTCTTGGTCATGGGAGTTCTGTGTGCCAAGTTTGGTTCAATTCCATCATTGGTGGAGTTCAGAATTATCTTTGAGTGTAGGTGAACTATAAATCTCAGCAACTACAACTCCCAAATGTCAAGATCTATTTCCCCCAAACTTCATCAGAGTTCACATCTGGGCATATTGAGTATTTGTGCCACGTTTGTTTCAGATCAATAATTGTTTGAGTCCAGTGCTCTCTGGGTAGGTGAACTACAACTCCAAAACTCAAGGTCAATGCCCACCAAACCCTTCCAGTATTTTCTGTTGGTCACAGGAGTTCTGTGTGCCAAATTTAGTTCAATTCTATCATTGGTGGAGTTCAGAATGCTCTTTGATTGTAGGTGCACTATAAATCCCAGCAACTATAACTCCCAAATGACAACCCCCCCCCAATCCCACCAGTATTCAAATTTGGGCGTATCGGGTATTTGTGCCAAATTTGGTCCAGTGAATATATCCTGCATATCAGATATTGACATTACGATTCATAACAGTAGCAAAATGACAGTTATGAAGTTACCAACAACAATAATGTTCTGATTGGGGGTCACCACAACATGAGAAACTGTATCCAGGGATCACGGCATTGGGAAGGTTGAGAAACACTACACTAGAGCCCTGAAATACCTTTTCACTACAAACAACACTCTGTCTAGGTAATCTAGTACACAGTTCAGGTCTAACCTATCTGTGCAACAGCATCTCCCCCCTGAAACACCTTTTCACTACAAACAACACTCTGTCTAGGTAATCTAGTACACGGTTCAGGTCTAACCTATCTGTGCAACAGCATCTCCCCCCTATGAACCTGTTCACACCTTGAGATTTGCCAGGGAGGCCCTTCTCACGGTCCCACCTCAATCACAATCACAATTGATGGAGATGAGGGGAAGGGCCTTCTCAGTTCTCAGTCCATAAATAGAAATGTAATGTTTGTTTGTATTATGTTTAACATAACTCAAAAATCACTGGACGAATTGACACCAAATTTGGACACAATACACCTATCAGGCCAACGAGTGACATCACTCATAAAAACACTGAAAACACAGCGGAAGAGGCTTAAGAAAAAAAAAAGCAAAAAGAAGCTACTAACCCTGCGCAAAAACGACTCCCCCTGACAAACAAAACACATAATAGCATATCCACACTCTCTTCGGGACTACAGCTCCCAGCATCCCCTAGACCAGGCTCGTGAGGAGAGGAGGATGATCCAAATGCACTGCTTCCAAGCTGCAAGCATTCTTCTCATTGGATTTCTTTGAGAGAATCCCAGTCCCTGCATATTTTCAATTTCCTATACCTGGACTGCAACTCCCAGCAATCCTCTAGATAGATAGATAGATAGATAGATAGATAGATAGATAGATAGATAGATAGATGATAGATCAGGAGGACTGCTGGGAGTTCAAGAATAGGTAGAGAAGGAAGAAAAGAGAGAAAGAGGAAGGGATAGAAAAGGGGGGAAGGAAGAGGAGAAGGAGAGAGAAAGAAGGAAGGAAGGAAGGAAGGAAGGAAGAAAAGGAAGGAAGGAG